CGGGAGGGAGCGCGAGAGAGCGAGAGCGAGAGAGATCGTGTGCATGTTCGTGTGCCCGGCGTGCCCCCACTTGGACTTGAAGCGTGCGCGGCTCCCCGAGCACCAAATCGGCACATGCCACAGAGAGAATCAAACCAGAGAGAGTCGTGCTCGTGCGACTGGCGTGAGCGACACTCTACGCTTTGTGTTTTCTCTTTCTAGATATATTGATGTTTGATCGTCTCTGTGATGAGTGAGCTGTCTCCCTCGCTCGTGTCTGAAAAAATTAGATATTCTTACCTTCTTGCCCCCCTCCGAGACTGGAGACAGTCACACCCCAGTATCAGACCAGGGGGAGTGCCCCCCGCCCCCGCTTGCCCTGCCTGCGCAGGATAGCGTGCCCCGGTAGCGGCGACACTTAGCGAGGGACACTGCGCAAGGAGGGGGTGCGTCGACTTTTTTATTTCTTTTTGTCCTCTCGGGGGAATGTTCTCTCGGCGCCCATGGCCTTCTGAGGTTTCGTACTAATGACGTCCTTCTTGGCACTTCGGGCGTCGGTGTGTGCGTATCTGTTTCCCCCCGGTATGCTATATAGGTCGCCAGTTCGACCCCCCTCTCACTCGAAGCGATCTCTTGCTGGCTCCCTTTCCGCAAGCGGAAGGTCGCCAGAGCAGTTCGAAACCTGCTTTGACCCTTATTTTTTTGCGGGCTCAATTTTGCTTAGGTGCACCTCCGAATTCGAAATCGCGTCCTCACGCTTGGCGCTTGGTGCTTCCTCGTTTTTCGTCACGGGTTCCCTCGCTCGTGTCTGAGAAAGAGAGGTCTGCTCTCGGTCTCCGCCCGTGGCGACGAGTTGGACTCGGAGTACGGGGTGTGGAGGGTGAGTTGACCAAGGGGTTGTGCGCCGGGCCCTCCTGCTCGGCTCCAGCCGGTAGACAAGTCTTGTCATCAACAGAGTAGATGGATCTGACCTCGGGGCCGATGTGACCAAGCGCTGGTAGCTCGTGGTTTTACCTCACACCCATGGTCTCACAGTGTGCCGGCAGTCGCCGAGCAGTGTCGCTCACACAAGCCGCAGCACAAGTGACTGAGGGCCAGTGAGGGCGAGCCCATCGCTGTCACAGCTGTGGCAGCCGCACAGTAGGCTGTGTCAACTGTGCAGAGTGTGTGAGCAGCAGAGGAGCTGCTCTCCAGGCTTCTGTCGCAAAGAGCTGCATGCCACCGAAAGCGCTGTCGAGGTTCGCCGAGCGCGGCGCAGGTTGGAGGAAGCCGTCACCGACGAGTGCGTTGGAGTATTCACTCCGGACAAAGACGGGGACACAGCGGACGGTGCGGGGTGTGTCCCCGTCTTAGCGGCGAGGCGCGGGACCGTCTGTGGCGAGGTGGGTCGCGTCCCCCGATTTCCGTCAACCCAGGTCCCAGCATCCACACCCCGTATGAGAATGTCTCAAGATTAGCGTGTCAGAGTGAAAATTGTGGAACTAGCATACGTGGCTGGGTTCACTGCGATTGTAGGTCAGTGGAGGGAACACTTGACGGTCGGGCCTTCCGACTCGCGCCTCCGCCTCACTGGCACTATTGTAGCCCTGGCCGGTGCGCGTGCTCAGTTGAAGTTCCGGAGTAAAAATTCGAACGCGTTCTCTCACGGTGACCAAGAAATGTCCACCTCAGAGGCACCTCCGGAGGCAGGCCGCCGCACGCCGGCGACACAGCTCCAGCTGTCGAACTGACCCGCAGCTCCTCTCAGAGCGGGAACTGTGACGAAAGTTGACTGAGGCGGTTGTCAGGAACCATCATACGGATCACATGGTGGCTCTCTCATGACGGGAGACCGCCCGACCACTCCTGGGTGGCACTGCCACCGGTGTCGCTCGACGTCCTGTAGACAGCGTGCCGACAGCGACACAGACCCTGTGGGACGCGTCGAGTATCGACCTCTACTGCTTACCCAGCCTTCGAGTGTATCCTGGCTGTGGCCCCACACCCACTGGTGTCCATCTCAGAGACCGCAGGAGGTCATGAGGGTCGATGGGAGTGCCAACCCCACAATGCCTAAAATGTAAAAACCCAGCCCAGTATGCCTAAAGCCAAGTAATTGTATCACAGCGCTATCACGTACACATGCACACCCGCGCTCCACTATGACACGTACAAAGGGAGTGAGCGTTCTCCTAAATCCATGCCTAAATCATACACGGCGCCCTCTCACTCAAAGAGGGCGGCGCAGCGGACAATCATGGCCACTCGCGGCGGCGCGTCCGGCGCGGTGTCGGGCAGCGGGTCGAAAGCCGCGTGGAAGGTGAAGCGCGGCTCGTCGGCTCGGCCGTCGTACGTGTAGAAGACGAGGGCCTCGTCGCGCGTCATGCGCGGGAAGTAGCTCCACCGGTGCGCCGGCGAGTAGTGCAGCGAGAGGTTCATGCCCATGCGCCGCTCCGCACGGCCCTCGCCGCCCTCGACGAGGTAGTACACGCCTACGCGCTGAATACACCAACAACCTCGAAGGATGCGGGTTCGTGCAGGGTATAGAGCGCTGTGCGAACACGATGGATACAGTTGAATACAGTTGAATACGTGTCCTCTCGAGCGCTAGTTGGAGTACAAGAACGCGTATTCCGCTTCTAGGAGTACACGCCGACGTCGTCCGGGGCGACGCTGCCCACGTGGCAGAGCGCCAGAGGCTTGCTCCGCACGGCCTCGCTCGACACGTTGCGCCACACGTTGAGAATCGCCCCGCGGCGCATCGTCCTCGCGCGCGGGGGCAGCACGCCGCACTCGCCGAGCTCCTAGCAGTGGCGAGCAACGGCTCAAACAAGCAAGGCCCCGCTCACGACATCGCCTCGACGCCAGGCTCCTGCAGCATCTGAGGGCCGGACGCGGCCGTGTAGTCGCCGTGCACGCGCTCTACGGCGCCTCCGCGCTTGCCGAAGCGGTCGCGCGCCTGGCTGGGCGGCGGCGGCGGCGGTACGTCTTCGGCCCCCCGCGGGAAGCCCCGCGCACAGCACAACAACGTCTGTCCCACACACGCACAGACACACACATACCTGGTTGGTTGGTAGTCGAGATATGAACAGAGCCTCGAGGCTTCGCGGGTCGAGGTTTGGGGCGACCCTCTACCCGTCCTACCTAACCATCACCGAATACCGCGCGCCGTGTCGATGCGTACGTGGTGGAAGGGCACCACGAGGTCCGCCCGTGTCGCCCGCTGCACGAGCCGCGCGGTCTGCGCGAGGTACGCCTCAAGCTGCGCGGCGTCGTCAAGGTCCGTGGCGACGCACCTAATGGGATCAATGACCAATTATGAATGAGAATTAACGCGGCGTCGTCCCGCGCGGCGCAGCGCACGGCGAGCGACAGAGCTCGAAGCCGTGCGAGTCGAGGGTCGGCGGCTCGGCGCATGTCCGGCCGTCCTCCACGTCCACCAAACGTGTGTCGTCCTCTTCGTGCAGCGAGTCGACGGGGTGCGGAAAGTGGGTGGAGGAGGGCCAGATTGGCGCGATCCTCGGCCAGATGGACGGTTCCATCAGCCGGCCACTGTGACGGCCAGCGGGCGGCTTGGCCGGGTACGTGATGGTGCTCGCCACCTTGGCAGCGCCGAGCCCGTCCGCACCCGACGGCATCTCGACGGTAAAGAAAGACTTGTGACGCCGCGTTATGGCGGGCGTCGCGCCGCCCTGGAAGCGCGCATGCCACTCGGGTTTGGGCTCGGCAGAATCAATCGACCACGCGTAGACGTCGCCCAGCGGCCCCGGCCACGCGCCACCGCTCTCGCCGGCGTACTTCCTGTAAACCTCGCTGCCGGGCGGCACTTGGTGACGCGACACGTCCGACTCGAAGGCTTGTCGATTCTCATAGGGTGCCGTGCCGCCGGACAACTGGACGACGCCGAGCACAGAGAAGCCGCCCGCACCGGCCGGTAGCGCGTCGGGCAGGGGCGCGTTGCTCGGCCGCGCGAGCAGCACGACATTGCGATTGGCGTATTCCGACGGCAGCGCGAAGTCCCTCACTGAGAGTTTTTTCTCGCCGCCAAAGAGTGACGCGCTCGACGACTCGAAGACTTCGAGGCCCAGCATCGTGGCGAGGCCGCGTCGTATCGGGAGCATTGTTCTAGAGGGTCGCAGCATTCTCGGAGCATTCATCTACCCGTGAGTCCACGGGTAGGCCCGCTGTGAACCTTGAGGGCTCGGTCTCGCGGAGCAGCAATAGCAGCCGAAAAGCTAGAAGAATTTTCGATTCAAGCAGTGCACTATGCTTCCAAAATTCTTTTTTGCACGCCAGTGCGCGCCAGTCCTGTGCTGACGAGAAGTTTAATTCTTTTTTGGGCGCCGACAGCCATCTGGACCCAGCCACTCGGGTCCATGCTTCCCTCAGACGTGTCCGACGACGACGTCGAGACCCTGCGTAGCATCGTCGGCAACGATCTCCCAGAGTCGACGCTGCGCGCGCTGCTCCTGCGGTACGATGCTGAGTACGTCTCCGCCGGACTTCCGTCAACTCAGCATCCACACCCTCTAGGAGAGCTGAGCCCCTGGCCCTGCCCCTAATTTTTGTGCCTTGTAAGGCCCCTCCCCCGGACCCCACAATGCCTAATAACCCCCCCCCCGGACCCCAGTCCCCACAAGGCCTGAAATAGGGGGTAGACAACGCCCCAAAATCCACCGGTGGGATTTCGCGCAATCGCTTGACTCTGAAAAGCTCGCATGTACCTCCTGGCGAGCGCTGTGATCGCCGCAGACTGGCTCCGACTTGACGGGCGCATGGAGACGTGATGCCTCCATGCGCCCGTCGCGTCGAAATCGACATGCGAGTCGATCTTTGGCCCGCCAGAGGGATCAGCGGCGTTTTGGGCGACAAACAGCGCTGCGACCGCGAAGTGGCGGTGGACATGCTCCCATGTTGCCGACGCGGCGCCGGAGTGGCCGGCGCTGCTCGCCGCGACCACGACGGCTACTCTGATACTCCGGGCCGACCCGTCCTACCCGACGGTGGCACTCTTCCACGTCTCGCTCACGCTGAGAAAAATTCTGAAACGGCGTGGAGCAGAGTCACCGACGAGTCGGTCCGCGTGACTCCTCGTGTCCCGCACCGTTCTCACACATCCATAAACTCACTTTGGCCTCACTGAAGCAAGCCCTCAATCCTGAATCCTCAGATTTTAGATTAGGACGCTGTCGACCCTCTATCTGAAAACCCCCCAAGCCCAACCCACTACCCAGAGTACGTGGCTGGGTTCACAGCGATTGCAGGAAAATGACGAAAACACTTGACGGTCGCGGCCTTCCGACTCGCGCCTCCGCCTCACTGGCACTATTGTAGCCCTGGCCGGTGCGCGTGCAGAGTTGAAGTTCCGGAGTAAAAATTCGAACGCGTTCTCTCACGGTGACAAAAAAATGTCCACCTCAGAGGCACCTCCGGAGGCAGGCCGCCGCACGCCGGCGACACAGCTCCAGCTGTCGAACTGACCCGCAGCTCCTCTCAGAGCGGGAACTGTGACGAAAGTTGACTGAGGCGGTTGTCAGGAATCATCATACGGATCACATGGTGGCTCTCTCATGACGGGAGACCGCCCGACCACTCCTGGGTGGCACTGCCACCTGTGTCGCTCGACGTCCTGTCGACAGCGTGCCGACAGCGACACATACCATGTGGGACGCGTCGAGTATCGACCTCTACTGCTTACCCAGCCTTCGAGTGTATCCTGGCTGTGGTCCCACACCCACTGGTGTCCATCTCAGAGACCGCAGGAGGTCATGAGGATCGATGGGAGTGCCAAAACCCCACAATGCCTAAAAACCCAGCCCAGTAATATGCCTTAATAGATAATACCCCTCTACAGTCTACTGTAGTATATGTGAGGTCTCTGAGGTGGGCGTGCGCCCTGCTTTACACAGCGCCCGGGGACCCAACAGCTGGGGACCCCTCCCTCTACTCTCGTTATCAAAGCTCATCCATTCCGCGAAAGGAATTCGAGCGCGCGATGCCGTCCGCGCCGATCACGGGGAGTCGCATCTGAACGGGGGCAGGCCGGGAAAACGCTCGGTAGCCGTGTGGAGGCGGCGTCGCAGTGTCGCAGTGTGGCGCAACCACCACGTGGTGAGAGACGGCTAGGGGCAAATTTCACCGGGACCGGTGACGCCGCATCGTTGGTCCGCGAGGTGGGAGAGAGAATCTTCACGAGGGATTGCAGCGCGTTGGGCGCCTATGGGCAGCAGACAAAGCCGTCACGCGGGAGAGGCCCCCCATGGACAGAGAGGGAGGAGAAGGAGAGGGAGAGGGAGAGGGAGAGGGAGAGGGAGAGGGAGAGGGAGAGGGAGAGGGAGAGGGAGAGAGAGAGGGAGAGAGAAACGCCGTGCCTCTTCGCTCAGCGACGGAGACGGCCCGA